GTTTTCATCCTCGGAAAGTAAGTTTTAGTTCAATAAAAAGGCTGAACAAGAACTGTCCTAAAATATAGATAACTTGGAGTGGCCAGGTAAGGCAGCCATTCCTGTGAATTTTTGTCCTTGCGGGAAGTGTCCAGCCAATAAACTGGCTTTCTGAGGTGCAGACAACTCCACACAGCCCTGTGTGCCTCTAAAAAATGAAAATGAATTGTAATCATTACAATCTGCAAGGACGAATCTGAGAGAACTTTGTAAAACAGACATAACCATAGATCTTTGGTATCATTATTTTTCTATTATAAAGATTGTGGGTTTCAAGGCAGTTCCTTCTTTGATGTCCAGATTTTGCTGTACCGTTTGGATTAAGCTTTCCTTCATTAGCTGTGTTAAATTCTAACAGGTGGCTGGTCTCTCCAAATAACAGAATTTTGCAGCGAGCAAATGTATCATGTGACCATAAACATCTAAAGCTAAAGCGGCAGATTAGAAGGAGGAGTATGGAAGTAGGTGGCTGATGTAAAAATATTATCTTCTGGCTAGTTTCCAGTCGGGTGACTGATTGTGGTGGCTCTCAGTTTCATTACCGCAAGACAAATTGTTCAATATGTTTTAAATGTACAGCCAATCTGATAGACATGGAATGTGAATTTAGGCACTTCCTCTTTGAGTAGGATCAATATGTCTGCAGCTGAATGGTATCTCTGAAGTCAGATATTTTCAATACAGCTTCAGAATCGGTTACTTCACTTGGGATTTTTTTTTTTTAAACTTTAGTTTCTTTCAAATGAAAAACAAGTTTGACATATTTGTTTTCAAACCATTCATCACTGATGGTTCAGAAATCAAATACAAGGTGGGCTGTAAACTTGATTTATGATCCAACAGCTTTTTGTTGGAAGAATCTGACCTGTCAAACCCCATTTTTTTGAGAGGAATATACCAGTTTTGGTTAACTTTGTCTGGGATAAGGTTCTCGACTCTTGAGTGGGAAAGAAAAAAAAAAAAAAGAAAAAAAAAAAGGCAGTGATAGAGAAAGAAAGAAAGGAAGAGAAAAAGGTGGGGGGTGGAAGGGGGAGAGAGGGAGGGAGAAGTGCACCCATGCATCGGTAGATAATAATATCCAAGATCTAAGATTCTTGCCAAGAGACTTGAGAACTCTCTCATGCAAGAATAGGAATCTGAACACTCTGTTCCTCCTGTATGACAACCATGTTGATAACTACTACCTGGTGGGAAGAGGACCATCTCTTTATTTTTTTTTAAACACAGTCAAAAGAGTTCTGGTTCTTTGCATACAGTACAGAACAGGAAGTGCTTTGAAATCATGGATATTTTTGTAGGACATGAAAATTATTGCCTTCCTCCATCTATTCACTTAAAAAAAAAGTATTTAACCTGTTTAAAAGACCAGCTGTAGTTGTGACTTTTGTAATTTTTGTTTGATTCTTGCTATTTAGTAAAAGTTTAGGAAGAAAGGATTAAATTCTGGTTTTGCTGTTCAGTTTAGTAGATAACTGTGCCTCAATATATCCATCTGAAAATTGTATTAATTTTGAATAGCCTGTTGCATGGTGGGTTGACCCCGTTGCACCCCATGGTTTGAAAGATATGAAACAGCTTATAGCAGATGCATAGGTCTACTTCAGAGTTTCTAAACTGAATAAGGATTGCAGAAACTCTGCTGTCCATTAAAGTTGCTATCTGGGGAGAGTGTAAACTTGAAAGGGAGAGAGGCAGCTGGAGAAATACCCACCTCTGCCTTGGTCCACCTGGATTAATTGCCAGGAAAACATTCATACATTTGTAGGCTAAAAAATAGATAAAATAACAGACACTAAAGGTGTTGATTGACTGAGGGCACATTTCAAATAACCTTTGAAAATCTGATATTTTAAGTATACAAAGTTATTCAAATTATTTTCCTTGCCTATATTACTCCCAGTCACAGTATTTCCCTATAGCCTAAAACTCTGGAATGCAGAACGCCCAGGGATGCTTTCACTTTTCCAGATGGGTGAAGGAATTGGCCCTGGGAGATGTGATTGGTTGTAGTATAGACATACCCACAACAGCGTCAGGTTGGTAGGCATCAATAGGAAATGCAACACTGAAATACTGATATTTGCCTCAATTTAGAGAGCTTAGAGGTGCACTGTCTTATTAAGCATGAATTCTTCCTGGCCACAAATATTGGTAACTATCACTTTAAAATAACTATACAACACCTCTGGTGTATCTTTGTTTTAATGTTGATTAGGATTTTTATGTACTCCTGGATGATGGGACAGAGTGCACTCTCAGCAAAATGGGTGGAATGGGTGACAAAGCGGAGGGCAGGGCTCCTGTTTAGGGAGACCTTGATAAGTTGGAGAAAGTCATGGAGTCCAACAAAGGCAAAAGCAACGTCTTGCTCAAGGAGTGGAATAACCCCACGCAGCAGTGCAGAACCAGGGACTGACTGAAAAGGAAAAAGCTTTGCAGGAAAGATCCTGGTAGCCCAGGTGGACAATAAGTTGAGCATGAGTTGGCAAAGGCAAGTTGGCAAGAATTTAGCTAGCAAGTCCAGGCGGGTGATCCTTCGCATCTCTTTAGTATCGGTGAGGGCACATCTGGAATGCTGTGACAAATTTTGGGCTCCCCGGCGTACAAAAAGACATGGATGTACTGGGCTGAGTCTAGTGCATGCCACAAGGTGGTTGGGGGCTGGAACACCTGAAGTGGTAAAATCTCCATCCACAGAGATGTTCAAAACATGACTGGGTGAGGTCCTGGCAACCTGTTCTATCAGACCTGCTTTGAACAGGAGGTTGGACCACTTGGCCTCCAGAGGGTTTTTCCAGTCTACGTGTTCCTGTGATTCTGATACATCAGTTATGTGTCTAATTTATTATTTTCAGTAACCTTTTCTCTGTTAAATTATCTATTGAACCTCACAAGATGTGGGAAAATTAAATTGGGCACAAATTTTATAATAACTTCATACTGTTGTTGAAGGATGATTTATCTGCATATATTAACATCCTGTGCCTATTCATTTAAAAGTAGGAAGCCTCTTAGAGACCTGAAGTACAGGACCACAAAAGTAATGTCAATCTTTGCTTAAACTGAGAAAAATACTGTTTTCTAATCTACTTATTTGTTGCATTCAGATTAACTCTACCAGTTACTATATCTTTACTTACAATGAGAGAACTTTGTTTGCTCAAAGAGTTTCAAAACAGATTTAGAACAACAGTGACTCAGAAGACATTATCTGATGAATGGTAATTTTGTTGAGAATGACAGAACTGCAAAACTAAATTTAAATTCATAGTGGATGATGTTTAAAAAATGTCAATGTGCTGATAAATTATGAGCCTTTACAGAGAAGTTAAGAAATGGGAATGACTAATTTTGCAGTTTAAGGGAAAATATATTTCAAATCCTTTTCCCGTCCACCCACTTTAGCCCCCAAGGAAAAAAAAAAAAAAGAGAGAGAGACAAAGAGAGCTAAAAAGCATTCAAATCGGTGTAAAGAAAAGTAACAACCCAGAGATGTTGCCAAAAAGTCTGTCACAGCTGTGGCTCTCTCCAAAGTCTGTAGTGCAGAATGATTTCCTGTAGAGAGTAGAAGCTGTTGTTGGAAGAATGAACTGAAAGAGGGTATGTGGACCAAATCCAGTTCTTTTCCCATCCTCGAAGAGATATTCTGATTCAGTCCTAGATCTGATGGGTCAACATCCCAGACACCAACTGGGTGGGTTTACACTCTGGTCAGATAAAGGAAAACCTCTGTAAAGCAGAAATGTATGAGTTGATAATGAATCCATTCTATAATTGCTGCACAGTTCAAATTAATACTGTAGATTTTAAAGGGCATTGATAATTTAATCAAAGAGCAGGGGAAACATAGTAAAGAGAATGCAACTAAAGCTCTCCTGCAATTCAACTGACAGGAGATGAGTGTGTTTAGTAGATTAAACCCATACACATGTGGATGTGTGTGTGTCAGTAAGAAAGGGAACAGTGATTTTGACAAGTTGGAGGGAACAAATATTATAGAGTTATATCAAAATGTCAAATGCACTTTAAATCTCTGACAGCCCATAATCTCTGTTAAAGACTGAAAGTTGAAAAGCAAAATATCAAAATGTTCCAAGTGACTAGAAAAGTTGGAGCTTTCCCATGAACATTTACTATCAATTTTAAAGAAAAAAATAAATGAATGCTCTTTTTTTCATATAACATGCAGTCATCTGTCAGATCAGTAAAGAGTACACTTGCTAACAACAGCAAAAGTAGTAATAATCAATGTCACTGCTATGAATTAAGTATACAGATGATGAATCTAGTAGAATAGCAGCACTATTTAGCTGCATGGATTGAACACACTTCAACAACCTTCAGAAGGTTTTTGACCACTACCAAACTTCCTATTCAACAATTTGCATAAGTCTACTAATATTATTTCAGGGTAGATCAAAAGGGAGGAGGGAAGTCATCCTATTAGGAATCTTGACATTATTTCACTGTACCCATCCCTTGGATTTTGAGAACTGAGCCTTTTTCTAGTACTCCACTTTCAAAATTTTCACTGATGGTAATATCTTTTAAAGTAAAATTTTCATCAACTCTTCAAAATTGTTTTACAGTAACTTAGTTTATAGTATTTCTCTGTTAATGACTATATTTAATAGAAAGGTAATTGAATATTATAACAAAGTATGAAATGCTGGATAATATTTATGAAAATACAAAATTTTAACATGTCAGTGCATGGTTTTTGTAAGGGTTTAAAGAGATGACTTAACACAAGTGCCTTCAATACCTTGGCATGTGAAAGATTCTAAATTTGGTGCTATACTTACTCTCTAAAAAAAAATATTTACAGCAACCGAAGGTGTGAACTTTATTTAAACAAAAGAAAAAAACGAAGCATTCCTGAAACAATAGGCATAAAATCAAGTCTTATTCTACCCAATAATAATCAGAAAACTATATATGTGAATTTCTTTCTTTTCTAGCACCACTAACAGATAAACCACCAAAGCTTTTACACCCCTTGGAGAGTAAGCTAACAGTTCAGGAGACCCAGTTAGGTAAGTAGCAAACACATAATTTCTATTCAAATTGTATGAAGGTATTAGATGTGTCAATGTATGATGGTCATGTGATGGTATGTTGGCATTAATAATTTCATTGAAAAGGCATTAAGCATACTTTGTTTCCATGCCGAGATGTATCATACACCATCTAGAAGACTGTTGTTCACAGAAAAAATTGGTAGTAATTGACACTGAATACTAAGCTCTTGAATATAATGATGCTGGTTTTCACCTTTGCCGAAAGTCTGTAGTTCTAAGTGTACGTGAGCTTTTCTTGCTAAACTTCCTCTTCTCTGTATATTTATATATATTTACTGTGGGATTCAGTAGGATTTTGTGGTTTAAATTCTGCTTGCGAGACTGCTTTGGCGATTAGTTACGAACTTGCAAAGATGTTCTGTAATTATAAATGTTGTGCTGGTCTAAAAACATACAGCAAACAGTGAGAAGTTAACATAATAGCATCTGATTATTCTGAATGTATGAATATATATGTAAAGATTAATGGAGAGAAACTGATGCATGAAGAAACCATTTTGTTTCACTTTTTCTAGCCTAGTGGATAGTGGGTATGTTTTGTCACTTTGTTCTCCTACCACCGTGCAGGTAATTAAGGCTCCAAAGCTAAGTGCATGAGTTACTACGGTTTGCAGGATATAACAATCCATCTCCTTTGTGGATTGACACAGAGGGCAACTTGTAAGAAACAAACAGTCCTCAGTAGGTTACACTGGAATTATGCTTTTGTGTCAGAACAGTAACCTATTGATAGATCTTCTAGCATGTTAGCTACAGGGAAAAAATGGAAACAAATCTGGTGGTTGTCTAAATCTTATAGAAAAAAAAAAGAAAAAAAGCAAGCAAAACTCGGTACATTCTGCAGCACACCACTAGAAAAAGCAGAAGGCTTGCAAATTAATTCTGACAGTCATTGGCAGAACATGTTATGGTGCTTGCCAGCTTATGGCTAATAGTGGCCAGAGAATAATTAATCTTTGTTTTGATATTCATAAAATATTACTTAAAATGATTCATGCTATTCAGGTAATATTCTGACATGCTGATATACATGTTTTCAGAAACAATTGTATAGAAAGGGGGAGATGTAACATATTTCCTTCTAGAGCTACTTTCTGTTGTTCGGAAGATATTGTTTCTGATATACCAAGTCAGAAAACTTTTCCTTGATGACAATCCTAGATGATTTTACCTTTTCATTTGAACACAAGCCTAAGGAAGAGAAAGCAAAGCGACTCCACACATTTTTTTCCCAACTAGTGTTACTTACTGAGATATTTTTGATGGGAAAAAAAAAAAAAGCAGAACCTTTTGGGGCTTTGATGTTGTCTTGCTAAATATACTGCATAGGTGAGACTATTTCAATAAGACTGTCATTATTAATGGCTAGCTAGAGGCTTTTTATCTATGATTTTTAGAATTAATCATATCTTCAATTTCTCATAGTTCTGAGAAACAGATTAAATAATTTAAGAAGTGCTGGGCTTGGAAAAGACACTTTTCAGAAAACTAAATACCTATGAATATGAAGGAGTTAATTTGAAAATGTCACTTTCAGACACAGATGGGAAAGTCTGACCGCAAACGAATGTGAAGCTACAATACTTAGCCTTATATCAAGAAGTTACAAGAATATATTAATTTGTTGTTCAAAAGCCTGTGAAAAAGCCTGTGAGAACTGGAGCAAGTGCAAAAAAATGATAGTCCCTGACACGAAAATTATGTTGTTCCACTCTTAGTTTTAATGTCTTGGTCCTGCTGGATAATGTTTGAAAGGTCTATGTTTCACTTTCACTGAGGAAAGCTAGTGTTCTTTTCAGGCGGCCAGTTCATACCCTTCAAAAAATACAAAATATTTTAACGTTGGAATAATTCACTTGGTCAAACCTTAGAGAGCCACCTAAGCCACCCACCTGAGGCTTGGGGTGACCACATGTTGCAGACTGGTCTAGACACTGCCAGAAAACATGTTAGTCCTCCAGAATGTGTTTGGGGTGGTGGTTTTGTCCCTTTTTTGGAAAATAAACCTGTTGGTGGAAGGGGAAGAAGTGGCATGGGTGGCACAGAAAAGGGAGAGCAAGGAACTAGGAGCTTGAGGTAGTTTGGGATTTCGTTAGCAGGTCACCAGTTGGTGAGGTGGGGAGCTGGGGTAATCCCCGCCCTCCCCCCACATTTCTGTACTTCTCACCTTGCAGTCCTCCACCTTGAGTTGGAAATGAAGCAGGTTGCAAGTGTCAGGCAGGACATGCCCTGAGGGGGCACATCTACAATTTACAGGGATGTGTGTGCTTCTGCAGGTGCACATGGTGTGCTGAAACGTCAGCAGCAATGGTTCACCTCAAAACCTTCCCCTGCTGGCAGGCTTCTGGGGAGTGGTGCTGGGCACACTTTTGAGGAAGCCCTTAGTAACCCCAGTGTGTTTGCTGCTGAAGGAGCTACTGGAGTTCAGTTCTTAAACAGGGCACCTCCATGCAGTGTCTAGATCAAGGTGGGAAGACTCCAGGCATATCTCATTTATTTGGCTCTAGCACTGCTGAGTGACAGAGATATCTGACATTTATTGCTGATATATATTGGTCTCTTCTATACACCAGCAATTAAAATTAATGTCACGGGACCACAGACCTGTTGTATTATTGTGTTGCATGGCTTCTGTAAAACAGCATCAGACCAAGAGGTGATTGCACGTTAAGGAAGGAGCTTCTCTAAGGGGTGACTGGTAGAGTCTTATGGCATAAGCAAACAACGGCAGTTTGACTTGCTAAGACAAAAGGAAAGAAACGAGAGCTGTAGAATCTGCACACCTCAATCCTATGAGCCTACAAGCTCCCATCACACTCAAGCTATCTGCAGTTGGTTGTAGGAAAGGTGTCCCGCTATTCACCTGATGTTTGGGAGAGTGTTAAGCATGGCTGCACTGCAATCATAGAATCATAGAATGGTTTGGGTTGGAAGGGACCTTAAAGATCACCTAGTTTCAACCCCCCTGCCATAGGCAGGGACACCTTCCACTAGACCAGGTTGCTCAAAGCCCCATCCAACCTGGCCTTGAACACTGCCAGGAAGGGGGCAACCACAGCCTTTCTGGACAACCTGCTCCAGTGCCTCACCACCCCCACAGTAAAGAACATCTTCCTAATATCTAATCTAAATCCACCCTCTCTCAATTTAAAGCCATTACCCCTTGTCCTATCACTACACGCCCTTATAAAAAGTCCCTCTCTGGCTTTCTTGTAGGCCTCCTTTAGGTACTGGAAGGCTACTACAAGGTCTCCCCAGAGCCTTCTCTTCTGTAGGCTAAACAACCCCAACTCTCTCAGTCTGTCTTCACAGGAGAGGTGCTTCAGCCCTCTGATCATCTTCATGGCCCTCCTCTGGACTTGCTCCAACAAGTCCATGTCCTTCTTACATTGGGGGCCCAGAGCTGAACACAGTACTGCAGGTGGGGTCTCACCAGAGCAGAGTAGAGGAGGAGAATCACTTCCCTCGACCTGCTGGTCACGCTTCGTTTGATGCAGCCCAGGATACAGTTGGATTTCTGGGCTACTATTGCACTTCGCTGGCTCATATTCAGGTTTTTTCATCCACCAATACCCCCAAGTCCTTCTCTGCAGGGCTTCTCTCAATCCACTCATCGCC